GCTTTCACCAAGAAGCTCGGTCACACCACTCTCGTTGAACTTCATGTAGCTCCCCTCCGGAAGGAGCCGCTGTCGGTCCTAAAGAAACATGGGTCACAAGCAACAAAACTCACACTTTAATACATGCATCGCCTATTCGACTCTGATGTCCGATCCTTCATCACACCGGATGCACCACTCGAGCTTGAGCTCGTAGCTGCCTTGGAGCAATCGGCCTCGGCCTTCTGGCTGAGCTCGAGGATCTTCAACTCACCAAAAGCGTGCAGCACTCAGGCTCAAATGGTGGAGTCATGAACACACAAACTAACACACCATGTTTAAATCGAATCTATCACCGGCCTTCATCTTCACAAAAACATCATCCGGGAGCTTCTCAGCCTCAGGCCAGGACTCCGGCTCCGGCTCCGAATCCTCCACCCGGAGAACCTCGAGCTCTTCCTCCTCGCCGGAGGAATCCACGATCATCAGTGCCTGCTATATAATATAACTTGGTTACCACATCTACATATAACAGGTTGCACATGTACACACGTACACATGCTGCGTCAGGATCATTGCAAGTCAAAGGGACTTGCATTGCATCATGCTCTTCATGGCATGCTGCAGCAGCATCATCCATGGCACTCGGCCCATCTTCCAGTGCCGGCGCGTCATTCACCCGGAACCCTTCATCCAGCATCGCATTGACATCATACCCTCGAGATGCATAGAAAATGCATTTGAGGACTTTCACCTCCCGCAACCTCAGATACAGCATCATGCGAGAAAAATCCATCCCCACCTAAACTGAACCATGCTGTGGGCAGCTTGGCGTTGGCAGTGCGTTGGGCCAGTCGTATCAAATACGACCCAATCAGCCGGAGCCGGCTGCCTTGCAGAGCACACCAATCCTGAGCATTTATGCAATCGTGCTAGGGGACTTCGACCGTTACAGCCCAGTGACCCTGCATCGGCCCTTCGCTCCACGTTCCTTCAGATCTCTGGCCGACCAGAAACCAAACAGGACACAGAGGTGCATCATTGCAGCCTCAGATTCTTACACTTTCTGCATTCATGCTTGAACATATATTTTCGAATCGTCTATAATCCTAAAGCAAGAAGCCCGGTGCTCCAGGACAGATGCCGGATCGTCAGAAAGATGCCCAACAGTATACCCCTTCAGCAGCTCGAAGTTCATGACCAGGTCGGTCTCAGAAACCTTATATTATAAACTCGCAACAAGCAACACAGCACCCATAGAGACTAAAGCCCATGCTCAGCCACACAGGTTCGACCAAGCAGCTCTTGTGCACTCCATGAGCACAAGCTCAGCATTATCCTCAAACAGCTGTACATGTGCATGCCCTGCCAGTCGAAAGAATGATCATATATGTCTATAAGTGCGTGTCAGTTGTCCTTCGCATCCCTGAACCTGGTCAGATTCTCGAAGACATAGGGCTTGAGGCTGCAGAAGATTTGCATAGCCTTGTCCTCGTGATCCCAGGATAATGATACATGTTGCTATGGTGGGAAAACGACAAAAAACCCTCGCGTGCATCACCTATCCATGTGTAAGCAAGGGGCCGTCACGATATAACGGATGGGCTTTGTAACCCGCAATCCTCCACCCTCGATCTGGAAACACTCCATCGAACCCTGGCTAAGATTTCAGATCACCGTGTCGTGCTTGGGCCACCACTCGTGATAGCGATCACATTCAATTCAATCATGATTCCGGCACATGCACATGCACTCGCACCCAGCAGTATGCAAACCGCAAGCAGCAAGAAGGAGGGTTCGGAGGGCACACCTTTACCGTCGCCCTCGCCATGTGCATGTGCTGCAAAATGCAGCCGCAATGCTCGCCCGAGCACCATGGCCCGTCGCAAAACTGCCCCTCGCTCGCTTCTACTGCAATATATTATGCCTGGTGCATGTTAGCGTGTTAACGAAGCATTGGCCGGTCGTCATTATGGATATGCCGGACCCATATGAGGATCCCCCACACATATCTGACACATTCATCACATGGCCGGTGTGTACGTTAGTTGTCGATATGCAGTGTCACATGTTATGAAATCGGACATTGCATCACGAAATCGGTCACGAAACTGCGAGCACAAGCTGGGCCTTCGGACAGACCATCCGAGCTTATTTCTACCAGACAAGGACTTTCGATAGTAATGCCCTATCTGGCGCAAAAGCCCTAACTGGTAGATTTAAGATCAAACACTCGCTGGTGAAGCAACTGGAGGCACAGGG